ATAGCATTCCTTACCAGCCCTATTTTCCCCTAAAACACCTAAAATCCAGGCTTGCATTTCGCCCCCAGCACCAGGCAGGTCCCCTCCAACCACCCCTACGATGCCGTTTCACCACTTTTTGGCATTTTCATCGATTTCTAGATTATTTTTTTTTTTACGCCCGCCCAAGCACTGGCGCATCCGAGGTCTCACCCGGGGGCATTAAACGCAACTGTTTAGCAGCCGTAGCCGAACCAAAAAGCGTGCCGAGGTGGTTTGCTCCGATCTCCAGCCCTTCCTAGGGAGTCATTACAAGAAATTACCAAGATAGGATTGCAGCGCCGCGGCAGATTTTAGTATTTAATTGCCGAGGTGGGGCAGGGAGGGATGCCCGGGGGGGTCCTGGCTCCGCGCTGGTGCGTCTGAGCGTTATGGCTGCAGGTCACCTAAATAGGGAAAAAAAAATGGGGTGATGCTGGTTTGCAGGAGAAACCGTTGAAGGTCGAGACCGATTTGGCCTTTCCAAACCAAAGGCAGCATCTGTCCCCGATGCCGGAGCGGCCAAATCCGGCTCCCCGCTTCGCCAGGTGCCGGCACGCGGCTGCGTCTGGCTCGCCGGGCGTTTCCATCATCCGTGAAATGTAAAGTTGGAATTTTCTGCTCCCCCCCACCCCGCCATCATCCGCTGAGCCCAAAATCAATTATTCCCACCCGCGCACTTGCCATCGATGCGCGACGCGCTCGGTAGCCACGTGGCATTGCCGCAGCCGTGCTGGAGAGGGTTGGTAACGGGGTTGGGGACCCCCCCTTCACCTCCTTCTGGAGCCTGAGGGGGGGGAAGAGCCCCCCGGGAAGGGCTGGGGGGTGTGGGGGTGATTTCGGGGCTCACCCGGCTGCCGGTGCCTTCGGGTCCTTGTAACCCCCCCAGGTCTGGACCATCGGGGCCACCAAGCAGTGGCTTCACACCCCTCGGGCTCCGTCCCAACCCCGGGATGCTCGGTGACACCGTGCCTTTGGCTAACCACGAGGCCGACATCCCTCACCTCTTTCGGGGCTGCCCCCCCCCTGCCCCTAGATTTGGCGAGGAGGAGGAGGAAGGGATGAAGGATGCAGGAGGGGGGGAAGGATGCACAGCCCCGGTCCCCAGCTGCCGGCTGGCGCATCCCTCCGCCGGCAGCCCCCGGGGGTGGGCTCAGCGACGCACGTGTTCGGGGAGGGAGGTGTGGGGATGCGTGTGTACACCGTCTATATATACCACCGTGGCACAGACGCCGGAGGAGTCACAGATCAGAGGAGCCGGCAGCCGACAGCACACCTGCAGGTAGGAAATCCGCTTTAATTTTCCATCCTGGGGGGGCTTGGCTGCTTTTTTTCAGTCTGAGAGTGGTCCGTCCGGCTTCGATTCACAGATAGATATTCCCCTCCCTGCTAAGGGTTAAATGAAATATCTTCCCGGAGGGAGAAATCCATCCCCTCTATCCCAAAAGAGGAAAAGTTTCGGCTTCACCATCCAGCCCCAAAATCAACCGGAGTGGAGCGGGAGGGATGCAACAGGAGTCGGCGCGGGCCGCCTGCCCGAAGCCGGGGGGAAGCCCACGGGGCGCCGGTGGGTTCCTCCAGGACGGGGAGGATTGTTTAGGGGATTTTTTTTGGGAGCCGCCACGCCACGACTTTCCCCATTCAGTATTTCTGCCCCTTTTTCTTCTAGCCAGGACTTCACTGGGGTCACCGCGCAACGGTCTGGGAGATGCCCGGCTTGTGAGCAATCAATTTTTCCCCCTGAAAAAGCACAAAAAGGAGGAAAATGGGTTGGGTTTTTTTGTTGCTTTGTTTTTTTTTATTTCCCCCCCCAAAAGCAGGAACGAATGGCTGAGACGTGGGGAGAAATGTTCTTCCTGAGCTTTTTTACCTCTAAACAGCTTTTCTCAGCCTCTCGAGCCCACATCTGTGTTTATAGTCGCGCCGCGGCGTCTAATTTCGGCCAATTATGGCCAATTACCTGATTGAGGGGAATCGACAAAAGGAAACGCTTATTTTTCTGGCGAGCGCCAGGCATCTGTAGCCAACCCCCCCGCCCCCAAATCCCTCTGGTTCTCCCTAAAATCCCCCCAAAAGCTGCCGGCACAAAGCCGTGCGGCATCGCCAGGGTTTGGGGGAGCCGGGGAAGTGTTTTACCCGGTGCCAGTGGGGGACACTGTTGGACAATATTGTGCTTTTTTGACTGGAAAAAGCTTTGACTCCTTCCATGCTGGCTCCCGGCGGGGCCGGATCCTGCCTGGTCGCATCTCTCTTGCCCTCTGGATCAGGCCTTGGCTTTGGGCAGTGTGGGAATTCGCAGGGGATAAAATTAATTGGGGCTGGTTGAGCTCCGGGTGTGGGAAGCGAGGAGCTCCTAAATGTGATCCCCACGTGGCGGGACTGATCCCGACCCGGGAAAGCGAGAGCATCGTTGCCATTAAACCCCTGGGAAGGTGTTTGGGGAAGGACAGCGATCCCGCTGTCGGGATAAACCCTGCCGTCAGCATCTCCCAGGGAAGTAAAGATGGGATGGAGCATCCTTGGGGAGAGGCAGGGAGCATCTCCCCAGCGCTGCCCGCGAGCTCCCAACCCAAATCGTCTCAAATCAAGCGAATAAAACCCATCTCAGCAAGCACCTGCTTCCCCTTCCACCTCTTCTCCTCGGGTTATTCGCATCCCACGAGCTCCGCTCCATCCTCCCCGCTGCCCCTCAAATCAGCCCTTTTATATGGCTGCATCTCCCCCGTCATCCCACCCGGAGCAATAAATAAAAGCCGCTTATCCTGACGGATAACCAGACCCCGCCGTTATCTGAACCGCAGGCTGGATTTCTAGAAAAACCTCTTTTTACTTTTTTTTTCCCCCCAAATATTAATGAGGGTAATTCAACTGGATTAAAAACTCCTGAGGATGCGCCCTTGGGGCAGCCCGTAGCAGCGAGGAGGGTCCCAGAGCTGTTTTGTGGGATGGGGTGGCCGTATCCCACCGCTCCCTGGGATGGATAGGTTTAGTTGTCGGGGAGGAAGAGGAAGGTTTGTGCCCAGGAGCGGCCCCGGTGTCCGAGGAGCCACAGGGGTGGCCGTGGTGTGACGCCGGGGCTGTCACATCCTTTGCTGGGGTCGATGGCATCCCTGGGCATGAGGGCAGCGGGGCTGGCTGGTGCATGCCTTGGGAAATAAGGCCCAGGTTTGGTCTTCCCAGAGGAACAAATGGGGGAAAATAGGAAAAAAAGGGGAAAGAAATGGGGAAAAATAAAAAAAAAGGGAAAAAATGGAAAAAAATGGGAGAAAATGGAAACAATGGGGACAAAATGGAAAAAAATGGGGGGAAATGGAAAAAATGGGAACAAAATGGTGAAAAAAGGGAAAAAACGAGAAAAATGGGAGAAAAGGCATCCCTCTCTTTCTCGTGGGTCCGTGGCTGCGAAACTCAGAGAGGGGCTTCGTGCCGTCACACCCCACAACCCTGCCACCCCCCCTCGCCCCAAACACCCAAGCGCAGAAGCAAGAAAAAAACCCACCGCACTCGGTCCTTCCCTCTTAAGGGGCTGATTTCATTTGGGGGGGGCCACCGATGCACAAAGGGGGGGTGTTTCCCTCTTTCCCAGCCCTGCCCTGGCCGGTGATGCTGGCAGGGTACCGCATCCCGCCCGCCCGATAGCATCTTTCAATTAACCGGGAAGAAAAGCCGAGCCGTAATCTCGGAGCCTCCTCCGCAGCCAGATGTGACCTGCTTTTCCCAGGACGATGGGAATCGGTGTCTCTTGGGGACATGGGGACAGGGCTGGGGGGTGGGTTGCAGCCCCCTCCCCGGCTCCGCCAGACCCCATTTTGGGGCTGAGTGATTTTTTGGGGGGGGTTGCCCTCTCCCGGGAGCTTTCTGCCAAGCCTCTGACTCACGCCGCCAGCCAGTTTTAATGAGACTCCACAAAGATTAAGCCTTAATTCCTGCTCCTTATCAGCTTCCCCTTGTACCCTCCAGCAAATGACAACCGGGAGCTGCCAGGCTCTGTGTCACCGCCCGGCTGGCGGGGACGAAAGGTGACGGTGATGCTGGTTGGAGACCCCGGGGGATGCTCTGCCCCTGTTGCAAGGAGCAGGGGTGTAGCCCCACCTTGGTGGGGTGGGAAATAAGTGGGGACCCCCTGCCCAGGTGCTCAACCCCCCTAAAAGTGGCCTGAAATGCTGACGACGGTGGCACCAACCTTCACATCCTTGTCCTGCTCCTCGCCATCACCTCCACTCGTCCCCTCGCTGGCTTATAAACCTGATGCCATGCAGCACTGGGACCCACTCCCAAGGACCACAGGGATGTCGGATCCCTTTTCCCGGCGGGATGAGGGCAAGAGGGGGGGTCAGGAGGATCAAGCCTCTTGTTTGCTGATGGCCATGAGGATGCGTCAGGCTAAATCTCTGGGAATTGGGAGGGAAGCGCACGGCCTTCGTCATGTCACTTAATCGCCACTTGTCACTGATGTTGGTAAAGCCAGATGGGACACGGGGGATTCTTTGGGAATTGGCTTTGCTGCTCTGCACTGAGTGGGCTCGGATCCCAGCAATCCCTGAGGGCAGCAAGGGCTGAACCCTCCCAAGATAGGGAGCACCCCAAAAATGGCCAGGAGGGGAAACCGGGGCAGGACATCCTCTCCCGGCTCCGGTGATGCTTGGACAAGGAGCGTCCTGCTCAGGGGACAGCCAGGGACGTGCTGCCCTGCCACGTCCACCTGCTAAAATAAGCCCCGTCTGGGACTCGTGCCATGAGATAGCCTGGAAAAAACTAAGCCGGGACACGCCGGATCTGTTTTGGGGATGGGGAGGCAGCCGGGCTCTTTTCCCGAAAGGATAATTTTGGCAGGGAGACTGGGAACACACATGTCTGGGGAGGGGGTGAGGGAGGACGGGCTGAGAACAGGCACATTTCGGTGCAGGTGCAGGGCTCGGCGGTGCCGGTGCCGTCTCAACAGGTTTTCTCTCTCCTGTGCCGCAGCCGCTGCCGGTGCCGCCATGAGGGCTGTGCTCTGGGACCTGCTGCTGCTCTGCCTCTTCGCCCGGGCGCGGGGTGACTGCCGGGGGGACTGCCTGCGCTGCGACCGCCACCTCTACCGGGACAGCTTCGACGTCCTCGTAAGTCCCTCTGCCTGCTGGCTTGTCCCTCACCGTGGGCAGCACCCATGGGGGTAGCACCCACGGGTGCTCTGCCGGCTGCATCCCCCCCCACGCTGTGTGGGCACCCTCCTCCCTGCGCCAGGGTCGGGGTTTGGGTTGGGGGAGGCTTTGGCTGCCGGTCAGCGTGGAGCCTCAAAGGGGAGATGCCACCTGCCATCACTGTCCCCCCCAGGGACACCATCGGACAAGATGCAAACCCCAAATCGGCTGCCGGGAGTGATGGGGACAAGGCTGCGATGGCCCAAGGAAGGTCCCAGGAGGGTCCCAAGACCCCGCGGATCCCCAGCTTTCCTGCCCCCATAGCTTGCAGCATTGCTGTCCCCACCTACGCCAATCCCGGACCCCCCCGGACCTCCACCCCATCCTCCAAGGAGCCACCAAAATCCCCCTCTGCGCCCCATCAGGATGGGACCAGTTCTGCAGATGGCTGGCGAACCACGGCGTTTTGGGGTGCCGGGCATCGGGCACCCCGCAGCCGCTCCCGCCCTCTTGATTTGCCTCCAACACTGGATGGGAAGAGCCATGAAAGAGCATTTTTGGTTTTTTTTCCAGTCCCTAATCCTTCCTTTTCCCCTCCGCTGAGCCGCGGCTGTGCCCTGGCCGGTAGCATTTCTCTCCTTCCCGTTCCCCCTCCTTCCCTGGGGGATTATCCATCGCCTCCCCCCCGCCCACTCGCCTGTTTATTAGCGATGATAAACCACGGCGGGCTGAGACGTCCACCCAAAAGGAGCCGGCAGCTCGGGCAGCCCCACGGGCTGGGAAATGTCCCCTCAAAACCAGGAGAGACCAGTGACTTCCAGGGCAGCGCGGAGATGCCGGAGCCACCCCGGTGCCACCCCCTTGCTGGCAAAGCCTGCAATCGCATGTCGCTGCCATCAAGTTTTGGGGCGCAATCTCCCCGGTTTTGCCCCAAAATGCTCTTTTGCAGTCTGAAGGCACCAACGTCTCTGCAGGGTCCCCCCTTTCCTGCTTCTGGAGCTGCATTTTGCTTTGTCTTCCCTGGCCAGCAAGATGGAGAGGAGATGGGATGGTTGGTGGCTCATGGGTCCCGTGCAAGGTTGTATCTCAAAGCAAGAGTGGTTTGAACCAGGAGCAGAGGAACCTGGGGTCTTCCGAGGCTCAGTTTCAGCTGGAGGAAGCATCGTGGTGGGATTTGATACAACCCTCCACCACTCCCAAAGCAACGGCGAAGGAAATCCCATCAGCGACATGGCTGATCCGTCCTTCGGAGGCAGAAATAGGAGATCCCCCTGAAGTTACAGGCATGCCTGCACCAGCATCGCCGCTGCCAGGGCAGGACAGGGACCAGCTGATGGAGCTGGTCTTCAAGATGTGGATGAATCACCTACGCCCTGGTCCCCAGAGGCGTCTAGGGACGGTGCAAGCCCACAGTGGCACCGTTAATGCCAGCTGAAGATCGGAAGGAGCCTCCCCAGGTAGTTTCGGCAGTGGACATGGAGGAGCATCGGCTGGTGTTTGCTGAGGACTCCCAAAACACTGCGAGCAGGAGCCATTTCCATGTGAATCAAGACCACAGGACGACGGCCGAGGACCCTGGGATGTTCATGGAGCTGTTTTGTGGATGAGTGGTGGGATCACTGATGGTCTTCAGCCTGACACCTTGGGGTAATTCCTCTTGAAGCCTATTAGCTGGTGCTCATCACAGCTGTCACCTGCACGTGATCCATCGCCATCCATCTCCAATGCAGGCCACTGCCAGGACGCTGTCCATCAGCCGTAGACCCTGCCAAAGCCTTGGAGATCCCAGGACAGGATCTTGGCTCAGCGCAGGATGCCCTCGGTGTCTCCACAAGGACCCTCGTAGGTGTCCCAGCCTACAAAACCCTCGTCACCACCTCACTTTGGGACAAGTATTTCTCTTTTGTCTTTTTGCCTGAAGAGCCTGGCTGCCCTCGGGGATGGAAATAGCCAATTGCTGCAGAGCCACGTGCCTGAGCTGCAGCCCTGAGATACCACGTTGGGACTTGTAGCACCTCCCACTTGGCAAAGTTAATGAACCCATGGCGAAGAGTCTTTGCAAGGGTTTTGGTCTTGCAGACGGCCTGTAGCAATGAGACACGCCAACGTGCTTCAACGTGGGGTCCCCCAGTTGGTGTTAAGCATTTAGAAGAGCCCACCACGAAGCTAACGCTGGGATGGAGACACTCCAAGGTGAGGGAAGACAACCCTTCCCTTCTGGGCCCTCCAGCCCTGGTTTTGGGGGCATTGATTTAGTTTGTTTTTTCTGCAATATTCTCCTGGATGGTTTCCCCTGGGTGCTGGTTTTGGCGGTACCAGCCCACTTGGGGCTATCACCCCGCGGCGGCGCCGGGTCTGTGTCCTGCCTTGCTGGACAAGGCCTCTTGGAAAGGGATGAGACGCAAACATGGTGGGGTGCATCCATGGGTGCTGAGGAAGCCTGATGGCGCCTCTTGATGAGGCTGCTCTTGATGGCCTTTGAAGGGACGTGGTGATCGGGGCGGGTTCCTGGGGGCTGGGAGGAGGGAGATGTCACACCTGCCTTTGCAGAAGGCATGAAGGAGGACCTGGGAAGCTATGGGCTGGTCGGTCTCACCTCAATCCTTGGGGAGGTGGTGGAGCACATCATCCTGCAAAGCATTTCCAAACGTATGAAGGACAAGCAGGTTGTTGGGAGCGGCCAGCATGGATTTATGGAGGGGAAATCGTGCTTGACCAACCTGATAGCTTTCTGCAGTGAGACAACCAGCTTGTCTTGACTTTCATCTGGCTTTGACCTTGTCTCCCATGACATCCTCATAGACAAGCTGCTGAAGCGCAGGGTAGATAAATGGGCAGTGAGGTGAACTGAAACCTGGAGGACCTTGACATCTTTATTATGACCAGGATGACGTGGCAGACGCACCCTCAGCAATTAGCAAATGATGCGGAGTTGGGAGGCGTGGATGGTGGACCATGCTGCCGTCCAGAGGAACCTTGCCGGGCTGGAGAAATGAGCTGGTAGGAACCTCACGAAGTTCAACAAGGAGAAGAACAAAGTCCTGCCCCTGGGGAGGAACAACCCCAGGCACCAGGACGTGCCACGGGCACACGCCAGAGGTCCCTTCCCACCTCCGCCGTCCCGTGACTCGGTGATTTTTTGGACTCATGCCCTGCTGAAAGACCCAGCGGTGCGGAGCATGGGGCGGTGAGACCGGAGCATGGATGTCAACGAGGAGTGCAGAGCACGTCCAGCGCGGAGCAGAGCCTGTCTAGGGAGGGATGGGAGAGGGTTGCTGAGCAGCCGCCACAGCTCCCCAGCATCTCCACCACCGCCGCCTCTGGGAGCCCGGGAATGGGTTTTGGGAGGGGACACCTCACCGAATGAGGCCAGGGAAGGGCTGATGAGCTGCCGGTACCTTTCCGTGGGTGTCTCCCAACGCGTTACATCGCTGGATGGGCTGGAAGTGGGGGATGCCTGAGCACCTGGTATTCGGGATACACCACCCGGCGCTGCCCGGTGTCCCGCAGTGCCAGAGGGACCAAAACCCACCTGATGCCCATCCCTGTGTCTCCCGCGCAGGTCTGCATCCTGGAGTGCGAAGGCGAAGCTGTGCACGACGGGAAGCTGAAGACGAAGGCGGAGAACCGGTGCCGAACGCCTTCCCGCAGCCACCTGAGGACATTTCCCGACGACTCGGCGGTTTCCCACGGGGGACGCGCGGCTCACGGCCAGCACCGATGGCCAGGGGGGTGCAGAAGCGATACGGGGGCTTCATCGGGGTCCGCAAGTCGGCGAGGAAGTGGAACAACCAGAAGAGGTTTAGCGAGTTCCTGAAGCAGTACCTGGGCATGTCGCCCCGCTCCAGTGAGTACGACATTGCCGGCGGCATCAGCGAGCACAACGAGATCTAACGGAGACCCGCGCCGCACGGCTAGGTCCGCCATGGCCAAAAAAGTCAACCCTCTACCCCTCTACACCACATGTCCATAGGCGCAAATCAAAAAGGGGGCAAAAAAAAAATTCGGAAATGGCTTGAAAATGCCAAAGGGGAGACGGGGGAGGGATGCTGAGGGCGGCCGTCGGCATCTCGGCATCCGGAGGGTGCTCGGGGAACGGCCCTTTGCTGTCAGCCCCCCGCCCAGGGAGGATGGGCAAAAGGGTTTTGTCCTCGACACCAAATAGGTCTGAAGGATGGTTCAGCCCCCCCCCAAAAAGCAGGAAAACCACAATCAAAATAAATTAAGATATTTTAAAAATAAAAAATTAAAAAATTAAAATTAAATAAAGGGTTTAAAATTAAAATGAAAATTTTAAAATTTTAAAATTAAAATAAAAATTTAAAAGGAAAATAAAATTTTAAAATTAAAATAAAATTTAAAAAATTAAAATAAGATTTTTAAAGTTTAAATTAAATTAAATTAAATTGCATTAGAATAAAATAAAATACCTTAAAATAAATTAAAATAAAGCAGAACCTTTTCCTTTTCGAAATGAAGGAATTCCTCCCCGAACGCTCCAGCCTCACGCTGCCAAATCGAGCCGCGGGTTCACCCCGTGCCGCCGCTCCCCAGGGACCAGCGTCCCCCCTACCACGCCCGCTCCCCGCCGG